CATCCATGGCACTTGTCTCTGCTCTTTTCCCTTCCCTCCTCCTCTGTTTGCTCTAATTCACCCACCTTCAGATGTTTCAATATGCAGATCTCTCAGACATATTTGTGTGTTGAGCAGGAAATCCTTTGTTGAATGATAGCTCTTCAACTTGTTGAAACTTCAAGGGGAGAAATTAAGGAGACTTCTCACACTGCCATGCTTTTTGGAATTGTCTTCTTAATTTCTCTTTTTGTTAGTTTGTTATTAGTGTATAAAAATGCACTGATTTTCTGAATATTAATTTGATATCCTGCTACTTTACTGAATTTTTTTATCCGTCCTAATCTTTTTTTTTTTTTGGTGGAATCTTTAGGGTTCGCTTTACCACAGTTTTACTTCTTCCTTTCCAATTTGGATGTCTTTTATTTCTTTTTCTTATTTGATTGCTGTGACTAGGACTTCCAATGCTATGTTGAATAAAAGTGGTGAAAGTAGACATCCTTGCCTTGTTCCTGATCTTAGGGAAAATACTTTTAGCTTTTCACTATTGAGTATGATATTAGCTGTGGATTTGTCATCTATGGCCTTCATTTTATTGATGTATATGCCCTCTATTCCCACTCTGCTGAGAGTTTTTATCATAAATGGATGCTGGATTTTGTCAAATGCTTTTTCTGCATGTATTGATATGATCATATGAGTTTTATCCTTTATTTTGTTAATATGGTGTATCATGCTAATTGACTTGCAGATATTGAACCAACCTTGCATCCCAGAAATAAACCCCACTTGATCATAGTGTATGATCTTTTTAATGTCTCGCTGAATTTGGATTGCTAATTTGTTGTGGTTTTTTGCATCTGCATTCATGAGGATGTTGGCCTATAATTTTCTTTTTTTGCAATTTCTTTGTCTGGTTTTGGAATTAGGGTAATGCTGGCCTTGTAAAATGAGTTTAGGAGACTGCCCTTCTCTTGAATTTTTTGGAACAATTGGGGGATAGGTGTTAATTTTTTGACTGCTTGGTAAAATTCACCTGCGAAGCCATCTAGTGCAAGACTTGTTTTTTGGGGAGTTTTTGATTACTGATTCTATTTTGTTGGTAGTAATCAGTCAGTTCAGATTTTCTGTTTCTTCTTGATTCAGTCTTGGAAGGAATTTCTAGGAATTTACCCATTTCTTCCAGATGTCCATTTTGTTGGCATATTTAATATTTTCTTATAATTTTTTTGTATTTCTGTGGAGTCAGTTATCACTTCTCTTTCATTTCTGATTTTATTTGGGCCTTCTCTCTTTTTTTCTTGATAAGTTAGGTTAAAGGTTTGTCCATTTTTTTATCTTTTCAAAGAAGCAGTTTTTGGTTTCATTGATCTTTTGTATTATTTTTCAGTCTCTATTTTGTTTATTTCTGCTCTGATCTTTATTATATTTCCTTCTTTATACTCATTTTGGGCTATTTTGCTGTTCTTTTTCTAGTTTCTTTACGTGTAAGGTTAGACTGTTTATTAGAGATTTTTCTTATTTCTTGAGGTAGACCTGTATGCTATAAAATTCCCTCATAGGATTGCTTTTGCTGTGTCCCATAAATTTTGAGTCATTATGTTTTCATTTTCATTTGTCTCAAGGTATCTTTTGATTACTTCTTTGATTTCATTGCTAACCCATTCATTGCTTAGTAGCATGTTATTTAGCCTCCATGTGTTTGGGTGTTATTCAGTTTTTTTCTTGTAATTGATTTCTAGTTTCATACCATTGTGTTCAGAGAAGATGGTTGATATCATTTTAGTCTTTTTAAATTTATTGATACTTGTTTCGTGGCCTAACATGTGGTCTAGTTTGGAAAATGTTCCATGTGCACATGAGAAGAATGTATATTTTGCTGCTTTGGGTGAAATGCTCTGAAAATACCTATTAAATCCATCTGGTCTAGTGTGTCATTTAAGGCTGCTATTTCCTTATTGATTTTCCATCTGGCAGCTCTGTGCATAGGTGTTAATGGAGTGTTAAAGTCTTCTACTATGACTGTGTTACTGTATATCTCTCTCTTTATGTTGGTCAATATTTGCTTTATATATTTAAATGCTGCTATGTTTGGTGCATAAGTGTTTACAAGGGTTATTTCTTCTTGTTGGATTGATCCCTTTATCCCTCTTTGTCTCTCATTATAGTCATTGTTTTAAAGTCTATTTTATCTGATATAAGTATTACTACCTCAGTTTTTTTTTTTTTTTTGGTTTCCATTTGCATGAGATATTTTTTTCTATCCCTTTACTTTCAGTCTATGTGTGTCTTTTGATCTGAAACGGGTCTCTTTTGTAGACATCATATGAATGGGTCTTTTCTTTCTTATCCATTCAGCTACCCTATTTCTTTTGATTGAATTATTTACTCCATTTACATTTAAAGTGATTATTGATAAGTATATAGTTATTACCATTTTATTATTCATATTTATGTTTTTTTCTCTTTTTCTTAAAGAAGTTCTTTTAACATTTCTTGTAATACAGATTTGACGGTGATGAATTACTTTAGCTTTTTCTTGTCTGAGAGGCTCTTTCTCCAATTTTAAATGATAGTCTTGTTGAGTAGAGTAGTCTTGGTCATAGTTCCTTGCTTTTTATCATTTTAAATATGTCATGCCAATCTCTTCTGGCTTGCAATGTTTGTGTTAAGAAATCAACTGACAGTTTTATGAGAGCTCCCTCTTATGTAACTAGCTGCTTTTCTTTTGCTGCTTTTGAAATTCCCTCCTTATCTTTAACATTTGGCATTTTAATTACGATGAGTCTTCACATGGGTCTCTTTGAGTTCACCTTGTTTGGAACGCTCTGTGCTTCCTGGGCTTCTATGTTTGTTTCGCCAGATTAGGGAAGTTTTCTGTCATTATTTCTTCAAATAAATTTTCAATTTCTTGCTCCCTCTCTTCTCCTTCTGGTACCTCTATGATGTGAGTATTGTTACACTTGATAATATCCTACAGGCCCTTCAAACTATCTTTATTTTTTTTTCTTTTTTTTCTTTTTACTGTTTTAATTGAGTGTTTTTCTGCTATTTTATCTTCTAAATCACTGATTTGAACCTCTGCTTCATCTAATCTGCTGTTGATTACTTCTAGTGTATTATTTATTTCAGTTATTTTATTCTTCAATTCTGACTGGTTATTTTTTATGGTTTCTATGTCTTTTTTTTATGCTCGTTACCTCTTTAATGAAATTCTCAGTAAGTTCTTTGAACATCCTTATAACTAGTGTTTTGAGTTCTGTATCTGATATGTTGCTTGCCTTCATTTTATTTAGCTTTTTTTATTTCTAGAATTTTGTCTTATTCTTTCATTTGGGTCATATTTTTTTGTTTCCTTATTTTGGCTGCCTCTCTGTGTTTGTTTCTATGTATTAGGTAGAACTGCTATGTCTCCCAGCCGGGTGACCTTAGGTAGTAGGTGCCTTGTGGGGCTCAGTGACATAGTTTCCCCGATCACCTGTGCTGAGTACTACAGGATTGTCACTTGTGTGAGTTTTGTGTGTACTCCTGTTGTAGTTGAGCCTTGATTGCTATTGGCATGTCACTAAGTGGAATTGACCCTCAAGCTGACTGGCCATGAGGATTGGTCATGCCCTCAGCTTATCAGCTGCTATATGGGGGTGAGGGGTGTTGGGGGGAAGGTTGACCCCATACAGAGATATTTGTCCCAGCAGGCTTTGGTGCTTGCTGAGATCACCAAGATCTATCAGCCCCACTTGTGGGGCTAATAAGGTGGTACTCTGAAGGAGTCTCCTGGCTGTGTTGGTTCTGGGACTTCTTGAGAGGGGCTTCTGTTCAATCCAAGGTCAGCTGCTACCTATGACCAGTCTGGGGCTACCTGGTAGGAGCTACAAAGTGGTCTACAGTTGGTTGCTACCTGTGCTGGACCTTGAGGTAGGTAAGAGAAGTTAAGTTGTGAATGGAGGCTGGCTGCTACTAGTACTAGGGCCTGGGGCAACTCAGTAAAAGGCCCAGAGCACCCTGAGGCCTGCTGCTGCTAGCCAGCTAGCTTCCTATAAGGCTCAGCTGCTAAAAGAGCCTTGGGCATTAGGCGGAAGTCTCAGGAAGCCATTAGGGAGGGGCAAGTAGTGTTAACCACTCAGAAAAAGTCTCAGAGCACAACGAGGTCAGTTGCTGCCCATCTGGGGTCCAGGAACCCGAGAGAGTTATCCAAAACAGAGTACAGTTTGGTCTGGGGCTGGCTGCCCACTGTTGAAAGTAAATCCCTTAATATAACCTTCTTGAGCGCCTTTTATCTTCCCCCTGTTTTATTTTAACTTCTTCAGAGCAGGTAATCTACTTACTAGCTTATGTCTCTTGTTTTTCTTTAATTATTTATTTCATTTCTAAAAGCTGATTTGATTTTATATTATTAAGTGATTGAATATGAGATTTTCAGGAATCGATATAGTTGTGATAGTTTTGAGTGATAATTTAATAATAATGATAATTTCAAAATCAGAGTAGGAAGTTAGTTAATGGAGATAGAATCAAATTCATACAACTGATGCAATAGCTTTTATGCATATAGAGCAGCCCCCCATTTATTTGGGAACATCTTCAGTATAACAGAAATATACCAAAACGACTTTACCCACCAAGACCCATTTTGTTCAAATGGATTATTTGGTTTTCCTAGAGAGCAATCTTGTATAAATTAGAACCTAACATTTTAGGTATTCAATAAAAAATAAAAATTAAAAAATCTCATATATATTTTATTGACACACCTCTCTGATAAATATAAGAAATATATTAAAATTAGTAAGCATATAATTAATACAGAGCATATTATTAATATCACATAATTATATATATAGTAAAGTATAATTGATTTATTTATAAAAAGTTTATATACTTTTTGCTATTAACATTATGACCAAACTTTCTTGGGAAATAATCACAAATTATTAAATACAAAATTAATTGTATAAGTTTGCCAAAAAAAGAAAATATATATTTTGCAATACATGTTAAAATGATTTTTTTTCTTTTTCTAGGACATATCGAGGAAGAGCATATTTTAAACGTTGCTTTTATAAGCTAGCAACTCAAGATTTTTCTATTGCAATTCACTTAGATCCTAATAACTGGTTAGCATTGTATTACAGAGGCTGCTTATTCAGAAAGAGTAACCCTTTAAGAGCGCTACAGGATTATAGTGTTTCAGGTACTTTGCCTTCAATTGCACATATATAGGAATTTGAACTGAGGTTCAGTGGCTAACTTTCGTAGAGTGGAATGCTGATGTGAGATAACTAATGTAATAGTATATTATTATATAATTATATATACATATATTAATATATACTTATTTTGTATATATATATTCATATGTCTTTATCAGCTATAATAGTTTAGTGAAAAATGTTTCTGTTATGCCCTTTGAACATAATGTGAGTATATGTGTATTTACATGTGTATGTAACTATGACAAAGGGAGAATATCATATCAAAGAATATCATATCTTTCTACATATTGAGTTCTGAGGATATTTCTGGAAATTCAAGTTTATTTCTTAGTCGGCTTGCTGAAATGGCAGTGAATTTTCTTGGTGGTCTGTGTCCTGCTCTAGAAGCGCAGCCCATGGATTAGTCAAATTCAGTCTTTTAACCCTTAAACTAAAAACGAGCTTTGAGAAGCTTCAATAAGAGGATGCCAACAGCCAAAAGTGGCCATTTCCACCTACACTATTATCAATGCATTCTTGTTATATGAATATGCCCAGCACAATTTTGGGCATAGAATAAGTGCTCAGTAAACATCCCCAGCTGAATAAACTAGCCCATCCTGACTGGCAAATTCCAGCTAGAACCCAGCACTCCAGACGTTGCTGTGTTCACTAGGTGCAAAGTGGTGGAATACCATCATCCATCATGGAATACCATCAATTAAGCAGTATCTAGAGATTAAGAGACAACTAGACTCTTACAAAGAGAATACAGAGCTCCTCCAGAGAGGCGGTCTAAGATGATTGTTCCTTGATGTCTCTAAATTCATTTGCATAATCAAATTACTTATCTTAACTTCAAGTTCTGCTTGCCTTGGACTAGTCTCTGAGCTGCACATCCTGCCTGGATTATGTATGTAAACCGGACCACTGCCATGTGCCCCAGTCTGGGCTTGTACTAAAGTCTGTCCTTTGGCCACTATCAATTCCTTCCTGTCTTCCATCGGGGACATCAAGGGCAGTGGCGCCCTTTTGACTCCAACCCACTGAAATGAATCAAAAGTCAAACTCTAGATTCTAGGCCTGTCTTTCTCATTTACTAGCATCGCAATCATGATCAATGTATCTAGCCCCTTTAAACCTTAATTTCTTCATTTATAGAGTGAACGGGCTATCTTTTATTACCACCAGGATTTCTTCCAGCTCTAATGAGTTTGTGAATCATGATAGCCACATTATAACTTATAAACAAATACATTTTATGTGAATACTATTTTTTACTCTTCCAATAAGTATACTCATTGTAGATATGTATTATTTTATATAATGTTAAAAAGTAATAAGTAGTAGGAAGGGTAGAGACTAAAATATAACTCAGATATGTTTGTTCAGAAGCTGAATAATAGATATAATTTTATTTTTAAGCTCTCATAAATGACGGCTATGAGAATCTTGGTTGTTTTCTACATCGGGGCATACTCTATACAGATCTAAAACTTTGGGTGCTGGCAATCTGTGACTTCGAAACTGTTATTTCTCTAGAAAGGTGTGTTTTTCTTTTCATTCTCATTAATTTCACTTTTGTATATAATTAATAAGCAAAATGAAAAAAAAAGCTTTCCCTTTCACAATTAATAACTTTGTAAAAATGAGACAATTATAAAGTGATGTTAAAATTAAATTATTATTTCTAAAAATAAGGTTATTTCTAAAGTAAAACTTGTTGTCAACATGTTTGCCTCAGATGCTTTTGCAAATTTTAGAGACTGAGTGGGTATGAGAGGATTTACATCCATGGATACCAAAATCAAGAAGTTATTAAGAGGAGCTTAGAGATGCCTAGGTTAGAGATTTTTGAAGTTAACTTCATAGAACACTGTCATCAAGCTTTAAAATAATGACAAAATATTCTACTTGATATATTGTTGCTATGCACAACACACAACTCGATAGAAGGAAATTTCTATTTAGAACTTCTGACTTCACTTCGCTTAGTAAAGCAAAAGAAAAAAGCCAATAACATTTAGAACATTAAGTTCAGGAAGAAACTGAAAGTTATACACACTAGTCAGAAAGCTAAGCTGTCAAACATGGAATTTAATTAAATAGTTCTCCCTCCCCGCCTTTCTTCCTAATGAAGCATTTATTAAAATGGAAGGTGTCAGAAAGAGTAACATACCATACCAATCCATGCCAAACAGCAGATTGTTTACTTAGTTTATCAATAAGGTAAACTTTGAACTTGTCTCAGGAAAGTCATGGAAAATGGCTCCATAGTGATTTTCTTTTGGATAGTTTTGAGCCAGCAATGGAAAGAAAAGAGTTTCAGTTGCAAAAAGCCAAAATGTGGGTGATAAGAACTTTGGTGTCTTTTAGGGAAAGGGTTGGGGCTTCTATGAAGTTGGGCTGTTTTATCATTTTGAAATAGAAGCATTGCTAAGCGAAATAAGCCAGCCAGAAAAAGTTGAGAATCACATATCACTCATATATGGGATATAAACCTAAAAGCAACAAATGAACAGGACAAACAAACAGAGACTTATGGTCATGGACAAGAGACTAGTGGTTACCAGAGGGTAGTGGGGAGGAGAGAGGGGGGAGGTAGATGGGCTAAAAGAGGTCAAATATGTGGTGACAGAAAGAAATCTAACTGTGGGAGGTGAACACACAGTATAATGTATATATGCCTTACTGTTAAAATGTATAGCTGAAACTTATTAATTTCGTTAACTAATGTCACCATAATAAATAAACAAATAAATGTTTAAAAAATTAAAAAAAAAAAGAAAATATAAGCAACATTTAATTTTTAGGAAAGGAGTATGTTCACAAAATAAAAATTTTAAAAGTAACAGTAGTTTTAACTTCTGAAAACCTAGGGAACATTATGTTATACAACATGAGCATGTATATATATATATATACATGCTCATGTTGTATAACATAATGTTCCCTAGGTTTTCAGAAGTTAATATATATATATTTGCAATTCGAGATTGCCTAGAGGGTTACTTCCATTTAAAACATGGAAAATCTCATACTTTGTATTTAATATACCTAATCAAAATGTTTAATTTGATCACTCAAAAAAGAGGTAGTTTTGAAATTCATAGAAAACATTAACTAAAAGTTAAGAAGGCTGTAAAGTTTTTAATAGACTATTTTTTAAAGGCAGCTTTAATAAAAATCTCACCAGTAATTTGTATATGAAGGAATACAAATATGTCTTCACTTGCTGTCAAGGACAGGAAGTTAGCAGCAGACTAGCACTAAGTAGGAAGCTGTTCTATCTTTGTGATTAGAAATAAACACGGTGGTGATGATGATAGGGGGGAGTGGCAAAAAAATATAATGAACAGATTGTATTGACTTACCATTCTGAAGCAGACACCTGTATAAAAGATGAAGAGAAATGTCAGCTTGTCTACCTTTAAAAATATTATAAACAACCTAACTTAACTTTCATCTATTTTGTTAAATAGTAACTAAATGAAACTAACAAAACCTTTAATATCTGAAAGTGTTCAAGAGGTGTTTTTAAAAATTATTTTCTTTTAAAATAAAAAGAGAAAAGGAAGATTACTTTTGGAGAAAAAAAAGAAATAGAGGCATTGAACAAGGTAATTTCTTGGCCATTTCTATATTGAAAATTGTTTGATTTTAAGAGAAAAAAACATTTCTTTGATATAGAAAAGAAACTGGGTTACTACCTATGTGGAGAGGATTTTCACTCATAAGCCTTGAAACTATTACTGTCTCACTGTTACTCATGGAGAATATAATACAGCCCAAAGCAGAAACTTTTGAGTTGAGGAAAACTATGCTTGTAATTCAAGATAAGTCAAGATTAAGTCAAGGAAGAGTAAAGTATTGCTAAGAGTCTAGAAGACTTCAGGAATTCTCTTCCTAGCACAGAACTACAAATGTTGATTTCCTTCTAAGGATTTTATAAAGGTATTTATAATTTTAAACAGAGTGTAATTAACTAATTTACTTCTTTAGTAAGACATAAAAAACCCTGGTATATATTGATGTATGTATTTCATTAGGTTCATTCATAATTGGAGAACATTTGGAATAATTAAAATGTCTAACAAGATTTCACATTCTTATTTTTTTAGAACTGTTACTTTTGCCTATATAAACATTGGCCTCATATACCTGCGGCACTTGGATAACTACATTGAAGCCACTTGGCATTTTTCTGAGGCTATTAGACTTGATCCTTTATATATTCGAAGCTATATTTGTCGAGCAGAAATTTATCATAAGGTATTTAAGGTTTAAGAATCTTGACTTTTAAAAAAAGTTTTAATTTTCTGGATATCAGTTTAATATAATTTAAAATATATTAATGTATTATTTTTCAGCTAATTACAGAAACTAATGCATTTATAAGCAATAAATATTAAGTAGCTATAGTTAACTATAATTGCCTCTACTGATGAGGCATGAATTTTTGTCTTTCATTTTCTTTTTAAAAAATGTTTTTCCCTTATTACAAAAGCAACATATATTAATTGCATGTAGTTATGCAAATAAAAATGAATTTAAAACTATCCATAATTTTGTTCTCTAGAGATATCTGCTATTAACATTTTGGAGTCTATCAGTTTGTATGTGTGTGTGTATTTGTGAGTGGGTGGGTTTGTAGAATGAAATTCACATAGAATGAGGTCCTACTCATTCATATGTTCTTTTAAATTGTTTTTAAATTTGCAAGTTACTTAAATTTAAAAGCGTAATATATCTTAGTGTAACAAATTCAAACAATATAATAAACAGTAAAAGTCTTCCCTAACCCCAACCAAATCTGACTTTCCAGAGATAAAAACTGTTAACTGTTATACCTTTCAAAATAGATATCCCTTTCCACTACTCCACCACTAACGGTCCTGCCTAAGACACTATCATTTCTCATCAGGATTATTGTAGTAGCCTCCTGGTCTACTTGCTTCTGTTCTTTATTTCATTTTAATGGATTTTCAACACAGCAGCCTTAGTGACCCTATTAAAACCTGTCAGATTATTTTACTTCTTCGCCCAAATAGCTTCAATAGCTTCCCTTTGCACTCAGAATAAAAGCCAAATTCTGCAAAAGCTAAAGGCTTACAAGGGCCTGCATAAATTAGCTCCTCATTGCCTTTCTGCCCTTGTCTCCTATGAGTCCTTTAGTCGCACTGGTTTTAGTCAGGCTAGACTAGTTATGGATGGGAAACAACAACAACAACAAACTAAAACAACCTCCTGTCAGCAACACAATCAAAAAACAAAGACCCTCCCCCCCACCAAAAAAATAAAAAAACCCCGAAAAACACAAAACTCACTTCAAAATCACGGTTTTAAAATATAAAAGGCTTTTTTTTTTCTCGCTTACCCTGCCTCTCCATTGAGAGTTGCCTAGGAGCTCTGTTCTCCAATGTCTACAACTCAGGACCTAATGTCCCATTCAAAGCCTTTACATTCCTGATGATGGAGATAGAAGACCCTGGGCAGGTTTAGTGTTGTCCGCAGGGAAAGTTTGCTCTTGACAACTGTTGGAGAAGGGATGGACTTACTTATGGCGTGTGGTCTTTTTGCTTCACTCCATGTTGTTGGAGCTGAGAGCTCCAGGGGGAAGTTGGAATTTCCTTTGAGTGCACTTAGAAACCAAAGCACCAGCATAATGATAGGGTATAAGGACATATATTCAAAAACTCATTGTTCTGAGGAGGCAAAAATTTCTACACAGTAATGGTTGAATAAATTGGATTGTATTCACATCTAGAGGATTATGTAGTCAATAAAAAGAATAATTAGAACTATATGGGAAGACTGGGAGGGATTTCCTCGAGATATTGTTGAATAAGAAAAGCAAGAATCAGAAAAGAGTATAAAGTGTGTACAATATGGTCCCATGTAAATAAAACAATTACAAATCAAACCTAGTGTGTATATGTAGAATACATTTGCCTGCGGTGTGGGTTCAACCTCAAGGATGAATCTAATCTAAGGCTGTCTGGAGAAGTCCAACCTCAGGACAGCTTGTAAAGATCAGAGAATGAGCCTCCATTTTTCCCAGTCAGGGTTTCCTCAATGCATAAATATTCACGGTTGGAACAGGTGCAACAATGCAGACATATGACTAGATGACTTAATAATTACGCCAACCTGAGCAGGGTCAGCTTGGGAAGCAGCTGGCCTAAAGTTTCACAGAAATTCTCAAATTTATTTAAACACATCTCAAACTCGTTCCTTTTGGGTTCCCTCTTTTGACTCCATCTATAATTTCCTCCAAACAGTTTGTACCACATCAATAGCTACTGCCTACTTCCATGCACAATTAGTTTTGTACATTCTCCTCTTTGCATCACCATATCAGCATAGTAAGAGAAGTTGTTGATTGTCCTAAGTTTATTTTGCTGGAGTCTGTGTAGTCTTTCTCTTGATATTTCCAACAATAGTAAGTTTTTGTCTCCAAATTTGTACAAATCCATGCTTTTGTGACCAATATTAAGGAAAGAATCAGTGTTTGCTTTTAATTATATATTGATTTTAAGCAGACTTTTTTCATCATTCTTATATTTTGTTTCATCATTCTTATATTTTTAGTCATTTATTTACTTATTAAAGTGTAACCCTGTTTTTTCTTCCTTATTTTTATGTGGAATTGACTTTTTTTCCCCTCCTCTTTGGATGTTGCCATTTCCCCTCAAGAACTGGATCTCTGAAGGCAGGGCGTCTCCTCCCACATGCTCCCGGCGTGCACCCAGGGCCTGGCGCACCTGGGGTGTGGTCCGAGGCTCCACCTGGGGTGTGAACTCAGGACCTTGTGTGTGTAAAGCAGACGTGCTAACCACTATACTGTGGAGCCACCCCAGACTTTTACTTTTTAATTTTATCCTCCTCTGCATGCTAGTTTATTAACATGAGTAAAGTTTGGTGGAAAAGGTGTTATGGTTGAGAGAAAAACTGAAAGGCTAAACAAAAAGAGAAAACAAACTAGAATGTATGATATGTAAAATTATATATGTAGGTATGTTAAAATTCTTCGAATTAAAGATAAACGATTTTTAAAAAACAAAAGACTGCATCGCAAACTTTTAAAAAATACTTTTACTTCTTTGTTCCCATTTGCTAGTATATCATGACATGTTTCTGCAAAATTTCTGTATTGAAAGATGGGAGGGGATAAACATCAGAAAGAAAGCAATCTGTTATTATGAACTAAGTTTCTGTTTATCACTCAACAGTTGCATGAATTGAAAAAGGCAGTAAGAGAATTATCTTATGCTATCCACCTTCAGCCAGATGGAATTCAATTATATATAATAAGGTACGGGCATAGAAATAGAATTCTTCTTGGGATAGCTTAGCAACTGAGCTAACCACTGGGATCTTTAGCTCTCTCTTGATCCTTCTAGCCTCCTTGTTTTACATTTAGTAGTTCAGCAATGGCCATCTTTCAACCAGCAAGTCAGATATAGTTATTGTTTTTGTTAGCGTCAAGATAATGTATAATATAAGACAACCAGATCTTTCTCTTTGCTTTATCCTTGCTTCAAAACACAACTGTTTAGTGTATAAGTTCTCTGAGGCCTCTTAGAATACTGGTTCTCTAGTTATCATACAGCTCATGAAAGTAAGGTAACATATTTTGATCAGTTGTTTGATTGTGTCTACAGAGGTACCAAATGTAAACCTCAGCTAATTCATTGAAAAAAATAGTGACACATTGAATTGTATTTCAAATGCGGTAGAGCTTGCTATAGACACCCATTGTGAGTTATGAGTTATAACCACCAAAAATAGGTTATAATCTCTGACCTGGGGAATGAGTTTATAATAGACATGTGAAAATGGATGAGAACAGTGCTCTCTTATATGTGAAAATGGATGCGAACTGTGCTTTCTTCTAAGGGCTTGCTTTGTTTTGTAAACTCTTGAACCACATTTTAGCAATTTATGTAAATACTCCCTTACTTTTTCGTCCCTTGAACTGTGTTTATCTTTTAATCACTTCTCAGCATTGAAGTCTAACATTTTAAATACAGATAACTGCAAAAATCTTTGAGTGTTTTTCTTTCAGCTTCACATTTCCTAAATTGTGTTCATGTCACATCTCCAAGCTAACTGGTTCATTTAGACTACATAAAATGTTTATAATTTTCACATTGTTTTTATCATACATATGTAAGTATAAATAAATGTAATTGTAAAATTTTAAGTAACTGGTTGTAGAAAAATTATTTTTAACTGTATTGTAGAAAAATTATTTTTAACTGCTTAGAATTAAAAAGATATTATTTCTTCTAGAGGACAATATCTTCTTATGATGAAATGTTATGATCTTGCAAAGTTCACTATTTATCAAGTAGCAGAAATGAACAAAGGTAAATATAATTAAAGCAAATTTATAATTGTCTTAATTTAAAAAGAAACACTTCTTTAAAATGTTTATATTATTTGCAATAGCTATGTGTAGATAGCTTGAAGGATTCATTTGAAAGTCGAAGTTAGGTTTTGAAACTTTAAAACTTCCATTTTGCTTGTACATAATCAATCAGTAAAATGCTTCATAACATAGTGAATTTTGTGAGAGAGGTTATTATAGGAAATACCAATTTTATGCTTTTTTGTTTGTTTATAATTGGAATGTTTTATATTTTGTTGATAGTAACTAGATTTTAGTATCATCGATTTGTTAATTCATATTTAAAGATAGATCATTGACTTGCTTGACTTCCTTAAAATAATTACATATGTTCTCAATCTTAGATTCTTGGCAAAAGTATCGATAAACTTTCCTTTCCTTTTAGGTCACATTGAGTTGAGTCCTATACAGCAAGCACTCATTTATTCATTTTGTGAAAACCATGACAAGGCCATTCAGGTCTTGGATGGGATTATTTTGAATAGGCCCGAGATCACCACATACACCCTATTAGCAAAATCCCAAATGAAGGCCAAGAGAAGCAAGGTACACAGTCTCACGTAATGTTTACTGAACCTATTTATGGAATTTTTATATTTTGCTTAGAATGACTGCTTGCATATTGTTTATAAAACTAAATAATGCCACTTATTTATTGATTCTTCTGTTAATTAACATTTGGGTTGCTTCTTTTATTTATTTTTTTCTCTTAAGAGTAGGGCTGCTATAAATATTCTTTTTCATGTTTTCTGTTAACATGTGGCGTAATTTTCCAGGATTTTCCAGAATTTTCTAGGAGTAGAATTATTGGCACGTAGAGAAAATGAATGTTTAACTTTCAAGAAAATGATACATTGTTCTATAGGGTTGTACCAGTTTATTTTCCCACCTGCAGTGTACAAATATGCCTGTTGATCTGCATCCTCCGTAATAATTGGTGTTGTCAGACTTTATTTTTGTTAATTTGGTAGTAAAAAAACAATTTCTCATTGTGATCTTAAGTCACATTTCTCAGTTTGAGCACAGGTTTGGTAATTTTTATGTTTATTAGCCACTCATATTTCCTATTTTGCCAATTTCTTATACACATTTTTGTTTGTCTTGTTCTTATCAATTTTAGGCATTTAAAAACTAAATTCTCTATATTAATCCTTGGTTGGTTGTATGTGTGATCTATATCTTGTAATTTGTGGCTATCTTTTAATTTTCTTTATGTTGCGTTTTGGTGAACATAAGTTTTTAATTTTAATGTGGTCGAATAGATCTACTTTTTGTTTTGTCAGCATGGCTTGAACAAATTGTTTAAGAAATCCTTCTCTATTCCAAGATCATAAAGATATTTCCCATATTTTCTTCTAAAAGTTTAAGGGTTTTGCTTTTTCTATTAAGGCCTTATTCTACCTTAAATTGATTTTTTTTTGAGTGTGAGATAGCAATAAAATTTCAATTTTTCCTATATAAGTACTCAAATGTTCCAGTATCATTTATTGAAATGTACTCCTTAACTCAAAGGTCTGAAGTGCTACATCTATTATAAGTTTTCATGTATGTGTAAAGCTGATTTTGGGCTCTCTATTCTGTTCCTTTGGTCAATTTGTCTATCCTTGACCCAATTATTATAGCTTTATTGCGATTCTTGATATTTGGTAAAACAAGTGCCCACATTATGTTCTCCAGAAAATTCCTGTTTATTCTTGGACCTTTACTCCTCCAAATACATTTTCTTTTCTCTTTTTCTTTTTTTTAAATTCCTGTTTATTCTTGGACCTTTACTCCTCCAAATACACTTTCTTTTTCTTTTCTTTTCTTTTTTTTTTTGCAGGGAGAAGAGATCATTAGTAGAAATGAAAATAAGTATTTGGTTTATTGACATACTAGCTTAGACCTGTGTTTAACAAGCCAGCCTAAAATAGCACCATGGTTAGACTACAGGCTACTTTTCTGAGCCATCATTTTACAACTTATTAAGCACACAAGGGATCAAATCATACCTGATGCGACATTTTTACTGCTAATAAGTCCCATTTGGACCAGCTGAAAATATTTTAAAAAGCTTTGCAGAAGAGCTCATAAACACAAATTTCACCATTTAAGTTATGTCAGATGGAAAGAACTCAAAGGGGTAGTTTCCCAAGCAGAACCTATTATTTGTAAATCATTGGCCTGCCACCACTGACCCCTTAAAATTCCACCTTGACTCAGTTATTGAAAACCTACATGTACTGAAGTGAAAGGATTAATTTCCATCCCTCAATTTCTCAGTCCTAAGTTTAAAAAAGCCAACCCTAGCTAAGGAATACTTACCAAAATCAGATAGAAAAACTCAAGACTGCATATTTATGAATCAGAATTGTTCTACTACAACCAGGGTTGCATATAATTGCATCAGTTGGTTCTGTATCCGGTTTAAAATTGAGACAGGACAAAGTTTAGAAGAGCTGTAAGAAATAGATTCTTAACTACAAAAGTTGTCAATTTCAAAAGCATAAGGAAAAAAAATAATGAAATTCAAGAATTCCTTCCTTTACATTTCAAAGAAATAGACTTTCTGTAAAAATATATACAATTCTTATAAATACATTTATAAGTCCCCAATATACATTTTTAATTCAGCCTGTCAAGATCCATTAAAAACCCTGTTGGAAGTTTGATTGAATTTTACTGAGTCACTAGATTATTTTAGGGAGAGTTGACACCTTTATAATATTGAATTCCTTTTAGGAATACTCTTATATTTACTTTAATCTCCCCTTATGTCCCTGTTGCTCTGCTAGAAAACTCGGGTCACCTTTGATTGTCCTCTTCTACCCAATCAATAGTGATGGCCCTTTAGTTCTACTTTCTAAATATCTCTCAAATCCATTTCCTTTCTTCCTTTTTCTATTTCTGTGGTCATTATTCTACTCTAGAACATATTTTTATTTTGCTTGAATTATAGCAATAGTGTTGCACTCTTCCAAGCATTTATCTACACAGCAGCCACAGGACTATTTTCAGAATGTAGATATGCCTTACTTTCAAGTCCCCAGAGGAGACTTTTTAGAGCATTGAAAAAGCAAGGATTGGTGGACACCAGCTAGAGGAAGAAGCAGGAGGAAGTGAAGATATGTTCGTTTAAATTTAAATGGGATGGAAGATTTTATGAACTCAAGAAGCCAGTGAAGGCATAGAGATCCAAAGGAGGAAGGAAATAACAGGTTGTCCTCAGATAGGGCAGAAGGAGATAGAATCAAGGACACAGCATGAGAAGTTAGTTCTGAAAAGGAGGAGAATGGAACTCATTTAAAGACAGGCGAGAAAAAGAAATGGAGGAAGATATAAATACATAAAAAGTTAAAAGAGAGAAGTTGACGTGATGATTTTTTCTATGGCAAAGTCATGTGCTGAGAGTGGGGATGGAAGGATGGATGTTGAGGTGGGCTGTAAACATACGGAGTAAATGCTAGTGTGGGGGTACGAAAGACACATATCTAAGTTAAATCTCGTTTCTTTAGCATTGTAATATAATTAAGAAAATGGGCTAAAGAGTCACAAATATTTTTGTTTCTATATAGAAATATACATCAATTAGGTAATTATGAAAAGTCATTTCTATCTGGAAAATTGAATTTTTTTTCATTAATGAGTTTCAATTACTTTGATTAAATAGTTTAAATGAGTGACTTTTGATGTTTATTTTCTGGTATCAGTGGAACCCCATTAAGAGCACAGCAGGACAAAACATTGATTAAATCCACAACCAAAATAAAAGATATTATCACTGGAGATTTTTTATTATATAATAGCTGCCCAGTATTCCCTTTAGAAAAATTACTAGGAAACTGGTCATGAACTAGTCTATAAATTTAAGTCTGATTTACAACTATAAGAAAATGACCTTTAGAATTTAGAAAATGTAGTTCTAAAAGTTCATGTGTGTAAGCCTGCTTAAGTACCTCTAGTAGGATAGATACTTGGGTGGGACCTCCTGTGATCAGATGTCCTCCCTACGGCCAGCCTAGGTCCCCTTCTCAAGTTGCACTGACAAGATCTGTGTCTTTGCCAGGACTGTATGTCCTCATGTGAACCGAGAGTAGGGCTGTGCGCTCAGGACTCCTTTTAATGTTTAAAGCTGTTGTGTTAAGCAAATATTAGAAACATTCTCATTGCCTTCCTCTCTCTCTCTCTCTCTCTCTCTCTCTCCCTCTCTCTCTCTCTTTTTTTTTTTATCATTATAGGAAGCTGTGAGAATGTTTAAAAAGGCGTTGGATATCTTTTCTCATTCCGATAAAGGACCTAATGCTGTAGCGGCTTCAGCTGATTGTCTGTATAACTTGGGTCTTTGTTACATGGATGAAGGCAACTTACAGATGGTATTTTCTGTATTTAGGAACGTAGGTTATCTGTTATTTTAGAAATTGCTTGCATTCGGTTCTGTTTCTGAAGGTTACCTACACAGTGAGTGACTAGACTAAAGCTTCTCATAAAGCTTGGCTTATTATAGACAGGATGTACTCTGTAATACCTACTTCATTGTTTTATTTCTTCAAAACACTTGATTTGATGCCTATTTGTCAATGATAGTCTAAAGACTAATGTGTGTTTCCCATCAAAACAATAAATCTAACTGTAAGAAATTATTACAGAAAATAATTTCATCATGTTAATACAATTTATTTATTAAATCGTAAGTACTTTAAACTGAGTGCTTCAGTGTAATGGAGATTAAATTGAAAATGATCAGGACACTGATTTCTCTTATTGACAACTGAACAATTCAAATTAAACTGAAACAGGTTATTAAGGTGGTTGGATTCATTGAAAACCATTGAAATTCATTGAAAAGTTGATTCAATATTCATATATTTATCCAGCATTTGGCTATTTTACACAAGTCTCCACTTCAAAATTGTCAGTAACATGATTAATATGTAAAATAATTGATATTTTCCAATAGCTAATTTTGGATATTCTACAACTCTATTTCTAAACACACACACACACACACACACACACGCACACGCACACACATGCATGCACACACACCATTCTAGTCCTTATATTCATAGAGATAGACAGTGTCTGAAACGTGCATCTCTGTAACCTTGAAAAAGAGTTGCACTTGATTAGCTGTACCATTAAGAAATTCCAAAAAATATAAGATTAATTGCAAATCTTTTCCATGTTTTTAGCCCTCTTGGAAAACCCAAACCTAGCTTTGCTTTACAATGTTGGAAAAAATTTTAGAGTTCTGTTGTTGTGAAATTTCATACCTATATATCTGCTATAGTTCTTGGGCCGTCATGGAAAGCAAATGTACTGGCTATGATTTCTTCGAAGTGCACATTTCTATGAAGAATAATGATTAAAATTACACCTGCAAAAATATTGTAATATAATGACAGGGGTTATGTAGATATTAATCTAAGAGTAAGGGGACCTGTAAATTATAATAATAACCTGACTCACTCCACAAGTTTCACTGAGAAAAACATATTTAAAATGACCAAAAAAAGAGTGAAAACTTTCAATAATAGTTACATACAGTAATTTGTTAACATTTTAAATGAATATATTCTACTCACTAAATGATTTCCTTCCTAATCACATACTCTTCTAGGCTTTTGATTGCTTTACGAAAGCTGTGAAAGCAAATCCTGATTTGGCAGAAGGTTTTTATCAACGTGGGCTTTGCAAAGTAAAACTCCGCAAGGATAGCTCAATCTTGGATTTTAATCGTGCAATTACTCTTGATCCAAAATATTATGAGGTATTTAAATGAACAATTTCAGTGATTTAGAGAGTGTGCTAGATTTGCTAAAACTATTAAATCCTTTATATATCGCCGTTATTAGTTAGCAACAACTAGTTACTTATATCTACTTTTCAACTAATTATATTTTGACAATGTGTATATCTGTATTTCCCCTTGAACAAAAAGTATTATTTCCAACAGGGATATTATATATGTAAAAGCGTTTTGTGAATTGTGAAATGTAAATATTGTTAATATTTTAAGGTATCTATTAATAATTATAATTTTATATATTTATTAATTTTATTTCTTGTTTTGCTATCACATTTATTTCTACTTTTTAAGAGACTACAGAGAAAATATAAAATTCAATAGGTGAAGTTTGATTGGATCCTGAGTTTAAAAGTTTATGAGTCTACAGCCATGCCACCCTGAACATGCCCGATCTTGTCTGATCTAGGAAGATAAGCAGGGTTGGGCCTGGTTAGTACTTGGATGGGAGAACACCTAGGAAGAAGACTGGGTGCTGTAGGTATAAAATAAATAAATAAAAAAAGTTTATGAACTATGAATATGGACTAAATATTAGATGACTTTAGGGAAATACTATTAATTTTCTTAAACATATTATAGTAGTATGATTATACAGGGGAACATCTTCTCCACAGGAAATGCATACTGAAAGACTTAGGGTGAGTTGTTATGATGTCTGAAACTTATTTTTAAACAGTTCAGAAAAAAATAGATACAATTAATATTACAAAACACTTATTTTGTTAATAATTATTGAATTCAGGTGGTAGGCAAGTATTTATTAAACTTTTCTTTCAGTTATTCTGTATGTTTGAATTTTTTCTAATAAAAGAGTGAGAAAAAAACTACACTTTATACCATCTCTGGGTGGCATAGATTTGTTCAAACTACCATATATTTTGGTAGAATTGATGCTTTTATGAAAACATCCATTCTCTCTTTCCTCTTCTCTTTCTCTGAAAAAGGCATATTTAAGCCGAGTAGCCTTCTATGGTTTGAAAGGCAGATACTCCAAAGCAATCTTGAATTGTAATGAGGCCATCAGAATTTATCCTCAGAGTGTGCGAGCTTATATTTACAGAGGAGTTCTGAAATACTACAACAAGGTAGGGTGATTTCCTGTCTTGTTCACTGAAATTTTGGGGTAGGCGGATGCTTAGATGTGAAGTAAGGAATCACTTCCTTTTATTTCTTCTGTGAGAGAAGAATCACTGTGGTATTAAAGATAGTACATCAAAAGGGATTTTAATTCATAAAGGAGAAGACTAAAATCAGCTATTATCCCACCATCAAATGAAAACTCCTGAGTGCATTTTGGTGTATTTGCATTGTCTTTTTTTCCTAATAATATATATATTTTCCAAAATTGGGATTATGCTATTATGCTATGTAATTGGTATTGTGCCTTGCTTGTCATACTTAACCTTTGAAGATACCATTTTTAATGACCGAATAATATTCTACCATAGTTTATTTTTTTATAACTTGATTGGTGGAAATTTGGGTTGTTTTACATTTTTTATTATTTTACTATTTCAAATAATACAGTTATACACATTGAGAACAAAATCATTGCTTGAGATTATGATTGATTCCTAAATGGAAATTATTGGGTCAAAGTGGGTGTGTGTGGCAGCATTGATATCTGATGCTTCATGGAATATTTTGTTTCTCTCTACTTTTCCTTTCTCATCTCCTTTTGTAGCTATTTCATATGAAATATTTTGCAAATAATACCTTAAGGTACAGGTAAGACTTTGTATTATGTGTTAATTCCATGAAAATTACTATCTATAGAAATGGATGATCTAAGGTATCAGAGAAGCATCAAAGAGGAAGCAAAAGAGAACGTGGATAGAAAACATGACAATTATGTGATATAACAGTATGACAGAAGCAAGCAAGCTCTAGTGAATGTTTGCTGGAGGAATATGGCTTGCCTCTCTTTTACTAATAACAAGTATAATTTTTTTCCTTGCTGTATAGCATCTTTGGCACTAAGATAATCATCTAAATTAAAGTTCTTTATATATTTAATTTTATTTGCAAGTAGCAGGAACAATAATAAAAATTCCTACCAAGATATCTTCTTAATTAACTCTGTGAAAGATTAGCTTGATTGTCTTAATATCACAGATGCTACACAGTGTTCCAAAAACTGTGATAGATGGAATCAAGAATTTATTTTATAATTAAATTTCAGTCCATTATGATTAATCCTGTTACCTAATTATTTTTTCCTTTTTAGACTTATAAGCTAGCCATTACGGATTTAACTACAGCTATCAACATGGACAAAAACAGCTATGTAGCATTCTATAACAGAGCATTATGTTACACCAGGATAGGTGAACTTCGAATGGTAAGATGACCATTTTAGTAAACAAAATATTAAAACATTTGTAAACACATTTAAAGCACATGTAAAGTTTTTTCTTATTTCTGTTATAATTTTGAAAAATAATTTCTGTGGAAATACACACACACACACACACACACACTCAACTTGGGAAACGGAGGAACCATTTCAAAGAGAATTAATTTCTTTGTGCTCACCAAATTTTCTTTTACAATCTCTATAATGTCAAAAAATTAATTTTATAATGCTTACATAAGCATATAAAGGCATACATAAGTTAAGATACATTACATAATTCTCATTAGAGTAAATGTTTCTACTGATATACTCATGTGCAGAATTTTAAAACAGTGATTATTAGCAATATTGTTGTTTCAAAATCTCAACATTAGCGAGAACAGTTTGTTGAGGTCTTTTTTTGTACAGTGCTCAGACCACAGAGAGTTATGAGTGATGGTTTCCAGCTCTGGGGATCAACAAGCAATGACCAGTATTGTTTGTGCTTTTTGAAGCCCTACCCGATGGCTGCAGCAAACCTCTTTCTCTATTTTTCCTTTCCAGCTTCTACCTGTGCAAGCCTTCTTTTATATTTTCTAACCCCTCTCTTAAGCCCGCCTTGTCGGTTTGGTCCTTTTCCAATTAAGATTCTTCATTGGGGAGCAGCTGGTCTGTGGTATTCTTTGTGTTCTGTTACATCCTCTTGCTTCTCTTTCTCTATTGTTCACCTGTCTCTCCCTCCTTGTTTCTATCCACTTCCATAGCCAATGAAGCATTCCTCTAAAAGAGTACATCACATTCCCACTGTTCTGCGTGGACATCGCACTCCCGCCCCTCCACAACCCCATCTCATCTCCTTGAAATGTGGGCAGTTAAATCTGTTTAAAACATATAGAGATTTAGGAATTTATCTGATGTGGAAAGGAAGAAGTTGAGAAACATTGTTTCTACCCCAAAAGATGTAGAATTCCTGGTAACCGGAAGATCAGGTTTCCTCCACAAATGTTGACAAATGAATAACTAATTTTTAACAAAGGAGTTGTTAAGATTCTAGGAGCTAATTAAAGGGTCATTTATCAGAGTAACCTGCACAGAAGATGACTTTAATGACTCCCTCCCCACCCCTACTTCTGCCTTTTCTGGGTAACTGGAAAACAATGGGCTGGGTCAGGGCAGGGAACTCTCATTTTTTTTTATCTCTGATATGTAACAGAGTCCAGTGCTCTATGAATAAGGAAAAGGAAAAACCACTTAAATAGAGATCTAACTAGAATAAATATATTGGCGATTTTAGAGCTGCCATGTATCCAACTCATTTAATCCAATCACTCATTTTATAGAAGAAATGGAAGTAAGGAGAGGTTGGGAACACATCCAGGTCACACAGGGAGCAGAGACCTGAACTGGTGTTCACAGGTTTGTTTGCTTCTGGTTAACAGTCTTTAGATGGCTTTGTAAAAACATCTGACCTCCAGCTGTGGACCGGATGTCATTTAACAGTGTCACCTCCTCCCTTTTTGTCTTCCTCCACCTGCCTCAGCATTTTTTGCCATCACTGCACTGAGAAAACCCACAGTCTTTCTGCAGAAAATTAATTCAAACATTCTCCCAAGACATGGTTTTACAACAATTAAGAAAAGGAGAATTTTGTCTCTTATTACCCTATGCTAATAAAAATAGTAACGGTTACCACTTACTTAAGTTATTGTGTGACAGGCACTGTCACATATCATCAACATATCAACATATCATCAAAATGATGAATTTTTGTAACATATGATGAATTATTAATATCTCAATTTTGCAGATGAGGAAACTGAAGCTTCGAGTTAAGTAACTTTTCCCAGACTGAAAATCTAGTAATAATTGCAGAGGCATGATACAAAAACTTGCACAGTAACTGAAGAGGAATTTTCCACTCAAATGGTTAACCTTATAATCAGCTCTTCGTCCTGCATAGGCCGAAGGGTAGAGCGATTTTGAGATCAACTGAAGATTCACCCTCCTCTATGATTGTTCTGTCTTGATAACAGACTTATTACCTAAATTTCTGTTCGAAAATCATATGCTCTTACTGTTAGCATAGGCTACTGCCTGTAGCCCATGCTAACTGTAACAGCGCAGAGATATAAAAGCGAAATTGTCCCTGAGCTCAGGGTCCAGATCTTCGGAGCGCTAGCATAATAAACATTCTAGTTTTCTTTTGCTTTTATGAGTATTATGAATTATTTTTACAGCCCTGGAAATATTTGCTTATAATTATTCCATAATGTACATATAGCATCTTTAACTGTACAATTCTTTTAGATGCTTGAGTGTCCAATTATGAAACACTAGAAGACCACTGAGCAAATAGTAAAATACTATTTATTTGCATTTTCAGTTAGCATATGCTATAGGCATATAAAATTTGATCCTTTTCTGATGAAACCATATGGCTCTTTTGGACAAAATGTTGAGTAGGAAAATAAATTAAGATATTCAGCTCCAACTCAAATTTGGGTTGCTCCTAGCACCTGGTGCAGAGTAGATGACCAGTAAATACTTGTTTATTCTATAAATGAGCAAAAAAGATAAAATAAATAGAGAAAGATCCTCTGAGTCGATTAATTCTCAACTGAGACTAATGTCTCTTTCTAAAAAAAGAGTATACCTATTAAAATATTTTGAAGTAATTTTCCAACAAGTGCTTATTCATTAGTTTTATTATGATCCATTGGCATTGATTCATGATTTATTTTTGCAACAAAAATTTATTGAGTGCTTATGGTGTATAGGCATGGTGCTAGTTACTGACTTTATAATGGTGAACAAAATGGATAAGCTCTGTCTCCAAAAAACTTAGGTTTCATTGAGGGAAACAATACAAAACTAAAAACTTAAATTTCAACAAGTAACAAGTCTTTAATATCAACAGCCATTTGGTGAAACTGTTGGGTGGGAGAAGGGTGTCGTATGCCCCCTTCCTATCTATACACAATAAAAATGCTTAGAATGATTCACAAATAACATGTAAAGTGCAAGCACAGTGAGCACTACTTATTACAAAGTATTCATAATATTTAGTGAAGGGGGACCCTTTAAATCTAACAAATGATTATTTTTGGCCATGATTGTAAGTCAAATTAAATACTAATAATGAGGTCCTAGTTTGGGCATAAACACATTTTTCCTTGGCTAATATAGTAAGACTCTGAAGAGCTGAACCTAGGTTGTAAGTGATTATTTTACTTTTAGGCATTAACAGATTATGGAATTGTGCTTCTTCTTGATGCTGGAGAAACTGTGACATTAAATACCTTCATTAATCGTGGACTCATCTATGAAGAACTAGAGCAGTACAGTTTTGCATTAGAGGTAAACCTCATTTACTTGTAAAAATGAAGCTTCTTTATTTTACATGTTCACTTCTGAAGATAGTGAACAAGTTTTTCTTAATATCAGTTGGCGATATTAATGAACATTAACTCAACTTTAGCAAAAAATTATATTAAAATTCTTTGAATGACTAATAGAATAATCTTTGTAAAAAAGAGAGCATTTTTACTTTGTTTTGATTACAAACAGCCAATATATATAAAAAAATTTCTGATTTGATGAAATGGTAAGATTATCAACTCCTCCCAAGAGAAAATCTTGACTATATGCAAAATTCAATTATTTGGCAAATAAAACGATTTATGTATTGTTTACTTCTCTGCCTGGTGCTAATTCTTTTTCATTCACAATTTACCTCCTTCCCCATTGAAAATATATCAAGATAAATCTGTTACTTTGCATTGGGCAGAAAATAGTTGCTCAAAATAGACTGTTGAGAATAGTAGAAATAGGTACTCAGAATTGCAATAGAAAATAGCATCTGCAAGATATCGAGAAGAAACAGGTGGTTAAAATGTATTTCTTTATAGAATAATTAAATGAAATTCACCATTCTCGTTTTTTATCTTATTTGTATTGTCTATTTTAAATTACTTTGGAATTAAGATTAAGAGAGGTAAGGCAAAAAATAAATAGCAATTTGAAGTTTGCAGTTAAATAATGGTAGTTTTCCTTCTTTGTTTCTGAGGAACAACAACAGAACATTATGCAGTGCAGTGTTTCCTATTTTTTTTCACCTCCAAAGATGGCTTATATTATTTTTCTACTTCTGGAGTCATCTTTTGAGATTCTGCCCCACAGAATTACTTATTATCAAGGAAGTGCCCAAGAAATCTTATACTATGCAATTTATACTATGATGAAATGTAATTCCAAGAGTTGAGAAATACCATTTGGAATTTCTTCAGGTAGGGAGAGCTAAAGAACTTTTTGTTTGGATTAGGCAAGAAAGCTGTGAAACTCTGGGTAACAGTATTGGGATAAATAAGTGAGAAAGATGGGGGTTGGAAGGAAAAGACCTCAGCTGTTGGAAAATTAAATGCAGGGCCTGTGTTATCTACCGGGTAAAAATATTTAGTACTTAACATCAACATACCAGGTTCTCAACAGTACTGCACAATTTATAATTGTAATTTACAGATGAAGAAGCTGATATTCAAAAGAGGTTAAATAAAGTCTTTCAACGAGAAAGTACTGGGGCAAGATTTGAACTCAGGTCTCACGTGATTCCAAATCCTATGGTCTTGCAAAGCAAGGTACTGGCATTGGCACTGAAGATATAGAGATAAATAAGATAGATTTCTAGTCCTCAAGGAGCTCATGGTTTAGTGGAAATCGTTCTTGATGCTTCTCTTTCCTCACACCCTACCTCTAACTCATGAGCAAGTTTAGTCAGCTCTACCATCAAAACATATTTTGCATTCAGTCATTTCTCATTTGTGCCACTATGATTCTCTTAATTCAAGCCTCAACCATCTCTCCCCTAGACTGCTGCAATAGCTTCTCAACTGGCCTCTCTGCTTCTGCTCTTATTTCTTTGCATGCTGTTCTCCACACAGCAGCCAGAGGCCTCTTGAAAACATAAAGCAGATCAAATTATTCCTCTGCTCAAAACCCTCCAATAGCTTCCCATATCACACTTGGAACAAAATCCGAACTCTTGACTGGCCAGCCCTTCATGGTCTGACTGCTGCTCACTGATCTGACTTCATTGTTAAACATTCTCCTTTCCTCCACTCAAGCCAATCCACTCTGGCCTTTTGCTATTTATGACTTGGAAATGCCAGGCTCTCTTCCTGTCTTAGGATCCTCACACAAGCTATTCTCTATACATAGAATACCTTTTCTACTGATCTATGAATGGCTCATGCCCTCCTTTCATTTTCATTTTCTGCTCAAATGTGACCTCCTCAGTCAAAAACAAATAGATTAATTAAAATAGAATATTTAAAAATTAAAATAATCCAAAATAAGTCTGGACAGGGAAAGCAAAGAAACAGAAAGCAGAGGAGACCTAATAAGATGGTAGACCTAAATCCAACCATTAGGCTTTACATTTAATAGACATGGTAAAAATATACCAATTAATATTCTGGCTACAAGAAATGCATTTTAAATATATTGATATAGCAGGTAAAAGTAAAAGGCTGGAAAAAATATGCCCTGCAAACACTAATTAAAAGCAAAAAAAAAAAAATGAATTTTTCTCTATGTAAAGTAAAAAAATAACTTGAAAAGTTAAATTTAAAAATGACACAGGCTGAGGAAGAACCAATGAAGAAATATAAGACTGAATAATAAAAGGGCTAGATGAAGAAAGCAGTCACAGCAGTTTTAATACTTACCCAGGAAAAAATTTTTAGTGGGAATTATTGATTAACAAAGAGGTCAAGTAGGATGAGTGCTGAAAACATACTAGTTAATTGATAGTTGTATGATCTTCATAGGAACGCCTTGATCAGGAAGCAAGAGTATAGCATTTAGACCAGCATTGTTTAGGAAGTTAATGGTTAGCTTGTTGGATTGAGAACATCTGTTTATCTCTTTGTCCTATTGAAAACCTATCAGGAAAACAGTAAAGGAATAAAAAAGATGTAACCACTTAAGGTTAAAAATAGTGGAAAAGAAATGTTGAGGCATCTAAAACTACCATTCTGGATTTTAATGCCTCAGACTTAAATACAAATGGGTAGCAAAGGACCCTACACTTGAGGGAAA